CAGGCCCTGATGGGACATGACAGTACGTTTAAATTTGTATTATGTATGTAGGTTCAAGATCAGAACTTACTGTCGTTTTTATGCAACACACTCACACAAGACAAGTCAAAGGAAATCTCCTCAGTGCTGCTGATGGCGTCCGTGGAGCTCATGTGCTGCTTTGTTCTCTTCTCAGTCGTTCAGGTCGCAGCAGAACCAGGTGATGAGTCGGTCGTGCTGACCTGCAGAAGCACCGTTCAGCCCGATGGTGCTAAAGTGGTGTGGAAGGACCGGAATGAGAGGAAGGTGCACGTATGTCAGAAAGACTCTGAGCAGCCTGAGAAACAGCACAGACGCTACAGAAACCGAACAGAGATGAAGAAAGAGCCGCTGAGGACCGGAGACCTCAGCGTGACCCTGAAACACCCCACAAACACCGACAGGGACACCTACACCTGCACCGTCTACAGCAGGGAGGGGAAAGAACTGCTGGAGAAACAGGTGGAGCTGAAAATCAAAGGTCAGCGCTGCAGATACAGAGGCTTGGATATTGTTATTGATGGCTATTTCTCACAGTGCGTGTCTTTGTCTGTCACACACCTGCTGTGCAGCAGCTCTGTTATACTGACAGACACAGACGCCATCTTCGTGGTTCCTGTCAGACTTCATGAGGTCTTCCTGTTTGCTCACTGTTAGAAATATGAGCAGCAGTGGACTTTGATGGGATGTTACGGTGCAGGCTTGAACAGCTGCTGAACAGATGTGAGTTCAGGGGAGCGTTGTCGTGTTCTCAGAGGAACAGCAGTGAGTCTGTGAGGAACACGATGCTGCTTTCTGTCATTTGTCTGATGAGTTCTATCAGCGATGGAAACAAGAGTCTGCTACTGATATGAGAGGAAAGCAGCAGCAGCTGGTACTGGACGCTCCTGCCTTCATGTGGTACAAAGCAGGACTGCACTCTGCTCTCAATCTTAAACATGTGTAGTGTTCACTGCGAAAGCAATTAGAAACAAATCAGTACATAAATAATGACGGTGAGTTATATAAAGGCCAAGTGAGGCACCAGGACTCTAATCAGATAGATTTAAAAACAACT